TCACACCTATGCGATCCGATTCTGCACATCGCACCGCGTTTTGCAGACCGCTTTCAGGGTGTTGTTAACTTAAAATACACACCTGCAGCGGTTTGCATGAACGGGGTGCGATTCTGATGCGGTGCGGAATTCGCACTGAAAATTCTGCAAATTCCGTACCGTGTCAGTGTGAACCCGGGCTCAAGGTAATTATATAGTGCTGACAAGTGATGCAGTTTTTCATATTGTACATTCACATCAATCCCCGCCCTCAAGGGGTGTACAATCTAAGGTCCCTAGCCCTCAAGGGGTGTACAATCTAAGGTCCCTAACCCTCAAGGGGTGTACAATCTAAGGTCCCTAACCCTCAAGGGGTGTACAATCTAAGGTCCCTAACCCTCAAGGGGTGTACAATCTAAGGTCCCTAACCCTCAAAGGGGTGTACATTCTAAGGTCCCTAACCCTCAAGGGGTGTACAATCTAAGGTCCCTAACCCTCAAGGGGTGTACAATCTAAGGTCCCTAACCCTCAAGGGGTGTACAATCTAAGGTCCCTAACCCTCAAGGGGTGTACAATCTAAGGTCCCTAACCCTCAAGGGGTGTACAATCTAAGGTCCCTAACTCACATTCATACATACACATACTAGGGACAATTTAGACTGGAGCTGATTAACCTCCCAGCATGTCTTTGGAGTGTGTGGGAGGAAACTAGAGTACTCGGAGGAATCCAAGGCAAGCACGGAGAGAACATGCAAACTCCATGCAGATAGTGTCTTGACCAGGAGCGGACTGACAACTCATGGGGCCCCCGGGCAATAGGGGATCATGGGGCCCCTGTGTCCTTGCCCAAACTCAAAAAAGCCTATGAAAAAGGTACCAGGGGCATCTCATGGGGCCCCCTACTGACCCTGGGCCCTCGGGCAGTGCCAGAGTTTCCAAATGGTCAGTCCGCCCCTGGTCTTGACCTGGATCCAAGCCAGGGGTTCCAGTGCTGCAAGGCAGAACTTGCAGGGGCAGACTGACCATTTGGAAACTTGGGCACTGCCCAAGGGCCCGGGGTCAGTAGGGGGCTCCATGAGATGCCCCTGGTACCTTTTTCATAGGCTTTTTTGAGTTTGGGCAAGGACACAGGGGCCCCATGATCCCCTATTGCCCGGGGTTCCCATGAGTTGTCAGTCCGCCCCTGGGCAGAAGTGTCAACCACTAAACCAGCGTTTTTCTCTGTAGCCCCCCTTTTTGTACATTCACATCAGTCCCTAACCCTCAAGGGGTGTACAATCTAAGGTCCCTAACTCACATTCATACATACACATACTAGGGCCAATTTAGACAGGATCCAATTAACCTACCAGCATGTCTTTGGAGTGTGGGAGGAAACTAGAAGCCTAAGCAAGCACAGAGAGAACATACAAACTCCATGCAGAGAGTGTCTTGACCAGGATCCAAGCCAGGGGTTCCAGTGCTGCAAGGCAGAAATGTCATCCACTAAACCGGCGTTTTTCTCTGTAGCCCCCCTTTTGATTCATGCCATGGTTCTCCTACTACACCTGTGACCCCTTTTGAAATATCCAAGTCCCATGGAGGTGTCACACGAGTGGGTCTGGTGACACGGCAGTGAGGACATGGCGCAGGTCCTTCTGAACTTTGTATCCTCCACATTTGATGGTTTGTCATTCTATTAACCCTTACCCCTCCACTGCCCGCCACCCGCTCGGCTCCCCAGTCCGTATCCCGGTCCCCCCGGGCCCCGACCCCGCTCGGTTTATGATAAACATCTGTTTAATATACGATCCCCCCAAGCTGACGGAAAGTGACAGCTGCTTTTGCTGCCTTGTGCGTCTCTGCCAATATGTTCTCAATTACTCAAATCCGGCTGCTGTCCCACCCATCTCCCCCACAGCACCCTGCAGGCACCCGCCAGAAAGATAAATTCATTAAATGTTTTATTTACCTCGATCGGGAAATAAAGTGCCTGAAAACATAACCAAACCTTGGCAGCACATGAAGAGGTGTACCTCGCCCGTTACAACCGAAATCTAATCTGCTTATATTTTGACTACCCTGGTCCCCCCCCCCTCCCCCCTCCTCCCACTTCACCATCATGCTAATTAAATCTTTCTGTTTTCATTATATATCCTATTTTAGACTGATGTCATCACTGGGTCTCTGCGCTTCTCTATGCAATGCAGGCAGATGATGGCTGGTTGGAGGGGTCAGCAGGGTGCTGTACAAAGCTTTCTGAAAATGTTGCAGCACCTCGGCTCGGTGCGAGTCCTTAGCCCTGTGGCTCTTGGGAGAAATGATGCAAATATCAACTGCATGGATGGTGGGTGTGGCTCTGGAGGAGTGGGTGTTCCTAGGCAGACCGCATTTGCATGCATTTTTGTCATTCTGCTCAGTTTCATGGGAACCCAAACCTTGGGGGTGTGTCATCTGTGAGCTGGGTTCACAGTACTCCAGGTCCGGGGGGGAAGCGGTTCACACCATGTTCCCGCCAGGGGCGGACTGACCATTTGGAAACTCGGGCACTGTCTGAGGGCCTGGGGTCAGTAGGGGGCCCCATGAGATGCCCCTGGTACCTTTTTCATAGGCGTTTTTGAGTTTGGGCAAGGACACAGGGGCCCCATGATCTCCTATTGCCCGGGGGCCCCATGAGTTGTCAGTCCGCCCCTGGTTCCCGCATGGGGTGTTTTCACCAGCCTGGAAGTTTCTACAGGCTGCTGAACATGCGGGGAACCCCCCCCCCCCCCCCCACCAGACTGCATGGTACTATGGATTTAATGAAAAGAAAATACCACGGGGGGGGGGGGTCAGGGGGTAGGAGGGTAAATCCCAGACTTCTTCTTTAACTCATAGGCTTGTTATAGGCCAGGGGTCTCCAGACTTTCTAACCAAAGGGCCAGTTTACTGTCCCTGAGAATTTAGGGGAGAGGGACTGTGGACATTGGGAATAAAAATGTCCTGGCATCCAGTGGGTGTAAACAATGACCTATCTTGGTCAGTGGGAGGACTAGTACCCTGTCATTGGTGTCAGTGGAGGAATTCTGCCCCATTGTTGGTGTCAGTGAGAGAAATAATGCCCCATTGTTGGTGTCAGTGAGAGGAATAATGCCCCATTGTTGGTGTCAGTGAGAGGATCAATGTCCCATCGTTGGTGTCAGTGAGAGAAATAATGCCCCCCATTGTTGGTGTCAGTGAGAGGAATAATGCCCCATCGTTGGTGTCAGTAAGAGGAATAATACCCCATTGTTTGTGTCAGTGAGAGGAATAATGCCCCATTGTGGGTGTCAGTGAGAGGAATAATGCCCCATCATTGGTGTCAGTGGGAGGAATATTGGCCCATCGTTGGTATCACTGGAAGGAGTTATGCCCCATTATTGGTGTCAGTATTAGGAGTTGTGCCCTGTCAATTGTGTCAGTGGAAGGAATACTGACCCACTGTTGGTGTCAGTGACAGAAATTATGCCACATTGTTGGTGTCAGTGGCTAGAATAATGCCCCAAGGGCCAGATAAAGACAAGCAAAGAACCACATTCGGCCTCCGGTCAGCAGTTCGGACACCACTGTCCTCTGAGTCACTGCCCCAGATTAAGTATGTAAATAAGGATCTCTGACTTTCCTTTGACTTTGATGTGTGTAAGCAGGTGAAGTTAGCTAGTCTGCCACTAGGTGTCACTGTTCAGAATAGTGTGTGCTAATACAGAACAGTGTAATCAGGGGCTCGGTCCCTTATAGTTCCCTGCTGTAGTGATGTCATGGGGGAATCAGTGCTCATATGTAGGCCAGGTTGGGAGAGGTCCAGGACAGGGGTGGACTGACCATTTGGAAACTCGAGCACTGCCCGAGGGCCCGGGGTTAGTAGGGGGCCCTATGAGATGCCCCTGGTACCTTTTTCATAGGCTTTTTTGAGTTTGGGCAAGGATACAGGGGCCCCATGATCCCCTATTGCCCGGGGGCCCCATGAGTTGTCAGTCCGCCGCTGGTCCAGGATGAGAGAAGGAACAGGGCCGGTTCACAGCTGAATTGTGGTCCTTATCAGGGGTGACTGACAACTCATGGGGCCCCCGGGCAATAGGGGATCATGGGGCCCCTGTATCCTTGCCCAAACTCAAAAAAGCCTATGAAAAAGGTACCAGGGGCATCTCATGGTGCCCCCTACTGACCCCAGGCCCTCAGGCAGTGCCCGAGTTTCCAAATGGTCAGTCCGCCCCTGGTCCTTATTACTGTGCGATTCCTGTGACTCAAAACGTTGTGATTTTCAGCCCATTGCACTGGACCGCACCAAAAGTAGTGCATGCTCTCATTTTAAAAACGCATTGTAACCGAATTGCACGGTACTACTGTTTCAAACCATTTCACATACATTTTGTCCCTACTGCTTTGTCCTGTCCCGTCTGCATTTTGACTGTTCTTTCTGCCTGGAAACTGAGAAACGTCCATGGCGTCCAAAAAGCGTCCCTTTAGGTCAAAAGCGGTTTAGACCGGCTAGAGAACAGCGATAGTAAATCAGAACCACTTGCAGAATTGAGTGATAATGATTCGTGGGGGAAATTCATCATCAGACACTGAAAACGATTCTGTGACTTTGCTCAGTGATGTGTGAACTTGGCGCTATATGTCAAATTTCAGTGTTTTTGGTCTGATTATATTATTGAATTAAATTTATTATTATTATTATATTATTATTTTTTATGATTTATTTATTACATTATAATTTATGATTTCGTGTTTCAAATTTTATCATATCCGGGATGTTTACTAGACTCTTGTTCGGACAGATTTCAGTGAGTTATTCCTAAAAATTACAGCCTACAAAAAAAAAAATACATATTTTCATGCAAAAAAATGTACCGCTTTGAGCACAGAAATATGGACATAATCAGACCGCTAGGGAGGTTAACTACCTGCCGACCGCAGATAGCCGAATGACGGCTGCACTGCGGCCGGCCAGTTCTGAGTGGACGTCATATGACGGCCTCCCAGAACGCGCTCTCCTGCGCGCCCCAGGGTGCGCGCACCCGGCGAACTCCGTGATCGCTGTGTCCTACGGACACAGCTGATCACGTGATGTGGTAAAAGGCCAATCACAGCGGCCTTTTACCACGTGATCAGCGGTGTCCAATGACACGCTGATCAGAGGGAAATGCAAGTGCCGGTTCTCGGCTGCACTTTCCTCACACTGTCAGATCGTGAGGAAAGTACTGCCGAGAACCGGCAGTTGTCAGAGCGGGGATCGGCACCGATCATCAGGGCACTGATGATCAGTGCCCTGATGATAGGTGCCCAGCAGTGCCACCCGCAAGTTCCGCCCACCTGTGCCCAGCAGTGCGCCCACTAGCTCCGCCCACCTGTGCCCAGCAGATCACCCACCTGTACCCAGCAGTGCACCCACCTGTGCCCAGCAGTGCACCCACCTGTGCCACTCTGCAGTGTCACACACCTGTGCCCAGAAGTGCCACCTACCTGTGCCCAGCAGTTCCACCCACCTGTGCCCACCCACCTGTGCCCACCAGTGCCACCCACCTGTGCCCACCCACCAGTGCTGCCCACCAGTGCCACCCACCAGTGCAGCCCAGCAGTGCTGCCAGTCAGTGCCACCAGTCAGTGCCCAGGGGTTGTGCCAGTCAGTGCCGCCAGTCAGTGCCCAGCAGTGATGCCAGTCAGTGCCGTCTATCAGTACCCATCATCAGTGCCGCCTATCAGTGCTGCATATTAGTGCCGCCTATCCGTGCCACCTCATTAGTGCTGTCTATCAGTGCCGCCTATCCGTGCCACCTCATTAGTACTGCCTATCAGTGCCCTTTAGTGCTGCCTATCAGTGCCCATCAGTGCCGTCTACCAGTGCCCATCAGTGCTGCCTCATCAACGCACATCAATGAAGGAGAAAAAATACCTGTTTGAAAAATTTTATAAAAGAAAACTTTTTTTTTTTTTTTAATTTTTTGCATTTTTTTATTTATAGCGCAAAAAGTAAAGTGCGCCCAGTGGCGATTAAATACCACCAAAAGAAAGCTCTATTTGTGAGAAAAAAATGATCAAAATTTCATATGGGTACAATGTTGCATGACCGCGCAATTCTCAATCAAAATGCGGCAGTGCTGAAAGCTGAAAATTGGTCTGGTAAGGAAGGGGGTATAAGTGCCTGGTAGGCAAGTGGTTAAAGAAGTGTCTATAGAAGATCACAAATAATAGATTGGAATGGGTGCCATTGAAATAAATGGGCTGAGACTTGCCATGCGATTTTATGTGTCCAAAGTCGCAGGACAAGTCACTTTAGTGTGAACCGAGCCTAAAGCAGAGCACAGCAAGGCTGCGTCACACCAGATACTTTCCAGTGCGTTTTTAAAATGTCTCCGGATTGCACGCTCCATGTTTGCTATGTATTCCGGAGGCAGCAAAGTGGCTAGATGGTTAGCACTTCTGCCTGGCAGTACTGGGGTCGTTGGTTCCAATTCCAGCCACGGCACCTCCTGCCTGGAGTTTGCATGTTCTCCCTGTGCCTGCGTGGGTTTCCTCTGGGTACTCCGGTTTCCTCCCACCCTCCAAAGACATGCTGGTAGGTTAATTGGCTCCTGTCTAAACTGGCCCTAGTATATGTATGTATGAATGTGAGTTAGGGACCTTAGATTGTACACCCCTTGAGGGTTAGGGACCTTAGATTGTACGCCCCTTGAGGGTTAGGGACCTTAGATTGTACACCCCTTGAGGGTTAGGGACCTTAGATTGTACGCCCCTTGAGGGTTAGGGACCTTAGATTGTACGCCCCTTGAGGGTTACGGACCTTAGATTGTACGCCCTTTGAGGGTTACGGACCTTAGATTGTACGCCCCTTGAGGGTTAGGGACCTTAGATTGTACGCCCCTTGAGGGTTAGGGACCTTAGATTGTATGCCCCTTGAGGGTTAGGGACCTTAGACTGTACACCCCCTTGAGGGTTAGGGACCTTAGATTGTACGCCCCTTGAGGGTTAGGGACCTTAGATTGTACGCCCCTTGAGGGTTAGGGACTGATGTGAATGTACAATATATATGTAAAGTGCTGTGTAAATTGACGGCGCTATATAAGTACCTGAAATAAATAATAATTATATTCCAGTGGCCCCAGTTTATAACAGTGCGGTCACTTTCAGTGCTTTCTAAAAAAAAAAGTACAACCTGCTGCAATTTTTTTCATCTGGAATACATCAAAATGCGTGTAAATGCACCGAAACCCACATTGTTTTCAATGACAATAAAGATTTTTCAAGTGTAAGTTAAAAAAAAAAACGCACTGGAACGCATCACAAAGGCATGTAAATGCGCATGCAAAAATGCATTTCCAATGGAAATTGTGGTGACAGATGAGCAGTTCCCTGTAAAAATTTTTTTTTTAATATTCCTATTTTCTTAAAAAAAGTATATTAAAATAAAAAGAAAGTATAATAAAATTAAAAAAAATAACTTTATAATTAAAAAAATGTATATTAAAAAAAAAAAATAACTTTTTAATTGTTTTTAAAAAAATGTATATTAAAAAAAAAAAAATAACGTTTAAAAAAAAAAAATGTATATTCAAATTATAAAAAAAAACATTTTTAAAATAAAAAAAAGCCCGTGGCAAGGTTCCCTTTAAAAATAATTTTTTTTTTTTGTTTTGCCTTATGTGGAGCAGATCTTGCCTGATGTGCTGACAGCGTAGCACTTGAAGATTTTTCAAGTGTCAAAATAAAAAAAACACACTGGAACATGTCACAAAGGCATGTAAATGCGCATGCAAAAATGCATCCAGAACGCAGAAATTGTGGTATGAACAATTTTTTTATTGAACAGGCATGGTCCTCCTGGCTGTAACATTATTCCCAGCATTGATGGACACGTTATTTTAATGGTCGGTGACAGATGAGCGCTTCCCTGTAAAAAAATTTTTTTTTTTTAATATTATTCCTATTTTTTTTTAAAAAAGGTATATTAAAAAAAAAAAAAAAATATTTTAAAATTTAAAAAAAATTTATATATTAAAATAAAAAAAATAACTTTAAAATAAAAAAAATGTATATTAAAATTATAAAAAAAAAATTAAAATAAAAAAAAGCCCGTGGCAGGTTCCCTTTAAAAATATATTTTTTTTTGGTTTTGCCTTATGTGGAGCAGATCTTGCCTGATGTGCTGACAGTGTAGCACTTGAAGATTTTTTAAGTGTCAAAATAAAAAAAACACACTGGAACGTGTCACAAAGGTATGTAAATGCGCATGCAAAAATGCATCCAGAATTCAGAAATTGTGGTATGAACAAGTTTTTATTGAACAGGCATGGTCCTCGTGGCTGTAACATTATTCCCAGCATTGATGGACGCGTTATTTTTAATGGCCGGTGACAGATGAGCGGTTCCCTGTAAAAAAAAAAAATTAAATTTTTTTTATTTTCCTATTTTTAAAAAAAATTTTTTATTTATTTTTTTTTAAGACGCACTTTTTTCCCACCAGAAAATTATTTAAAATTTCAGTGCGTTTTATGGAGCAAATATGGAGCGGCCGGTCCGGTATTTTTTCCACTTATGTCAGAATATTTTTTTTTTTTCAGCTTTACAGCGGGACCTTTATAGAGATACTATTTTTTTTGAATTTTGGGGATTTATTTTAAATTTTATTTACCTGAATTTGACAGATTTTCCCACTTTTTGGAGTTGTTTTTCATTTATATAATTCCTCTATAATTTATTTTTTTTTATTTTATTTTTTTTCTGTATTTTGTGGGCATGACAGCCGGGTGCCAAGTTTATATGCGCATTAAATTTTTTTTTTTTTTGTAAATATAAGGCGGCACCTGGGAATATAACAGATCCTAGAATTTTATTTTTTTAATCACAATTTTTTTTTCTTTTTTTTTGCGCAATTTTACCCGGCTGTCATGCCGAGCGCCATTACAGAAGAAGGGATTTTATTTTTTTTTATTTTTTTGGATCGAGGAACAGGTAAGATGAAAGAATTTTTCCGCGGAAGTGGGAGCGGGTACCTGTCAAATTCAGGTTCCCCCCCCTATTTTTTCAGCAGTCATTTGTACTATCCATAGTTTTTGGTTTTCCCTGTTGTCCGCAGTCTCTGGTCATTTATTGTTTTTGTCCGCAGTCTCTGGTCATCCCTGTACTGTGTCCGCAGTCTTGGTCATTTTTGTATGTGTCCGCAGTCTCTAATATCATTTTAATTAACTGTGTCCGCAGTCTCTGGTCATCCCTTACTGTGTCCGCAGTTTCTATTCATCCCCTGCACTGTTCCGCATTATATGGTCATTTCCTGTACTGTGTCCGCAGTTCTGGTCATTTTAAATTTTTTAAATTATTTAGTCTTGGTCATTTATTAATTGTGTCCGCAGTCTCTGGTCATTATATTGTACTGTATCCGCAGTCTCTGGTCATCCCCTGTACTTTGTCCGCAGTCTATGGTCATCTCCTGTACTTGTATTTTTTCTTTGGTAATCTCCTACTGTTCCGCAGTCTAATGGTCATCCCCTTTATTGTGTTTTTTTGGTCATCTCCTGTACTGTGTCCGCAGTATCTTTTCATTTATTTAATATTCCGCATAATCTATTTCATCTTGTTTTTTGTGTCCGCAGTTTTTTATTTTCATTCCCTGTACTTTTTTATTTTATAGTCTCTGGTCATTTTTAACTGTAAATTCCGCAGTCTTTATCTCCTGTTGTTTTTAAGTCTCTGGTCATCCCTGTACTGTTTCCGCATTTCTTTGGTTTTTTTCCCTTTTACTGTGTCCGCAGTCTCTGGTCATTTTTTGCACTGTGTCCGCAGTTTTTTCTTTTTTTTTTCCCCTTACTGTTCCGCAGTCTCTGGTCATATTCCTCTTTTTTTCCGCAGTTATTTCATTATTACTTTGTCCGCAGTCTCTTTCATCCCCTGAACTTTTGTCTTTTTTTTCTAAATTTCATCTCCTGTACTGTGTCCGCAGTCTCTGGTCATCTCCTTTACTTTTTTCCGCAGTTTTTTTTTTCATTCCTTACTATTTTGCAGTCTCTTCATCTCCTGTACTGTTTTCTTTTGGTCATTTCCTTACTTGTCCGCAGTCTTGGTCATTTCCTTACTATGTCTTTTTCTCTTCATCTTTTTTTTACTGTCTGCAGTCCATTTTTCAATTTTTTTTTTTTTTCCTGTTTTCTGCCTTTTAAAAACCTAGGCGCGTCTTATGGTAGGTGCGTTTTATGGATTAATTTTACGGTATATTAAAATTAAAAAAAAAGTATATAAAAAATATTTTTTTAAATTTAAAATTTAAAAAAATATATATAAAATAAAAAAAAAATTATTTTAATTAATTATATAAAAAACCCATTAAAATAAAAAAATAACCCTGTGGCAGGTTTTTTTAAAATTTTTTTTTTTTTGTTTTGCCTTATTTTTGGAGCAGATCTTGCCTGATGTGCTGACGGCATAGCACT